GTTACCATTTTTATTTACTTCAGTTAGGAAAAATTATTTCAGTTTCTGTTATTTTCTTTGTTTTTGTTTTATTATAATAACCTTGTTACCAATATGCAGTGGACTCTTACATCTGTACGTTCACCTGGACAGCAACCCTGAACAGCTTCTTTGACTCTGTGGCTGCATCAGCCGTTTCCTGTGGTGTTTTCTGGTGAAGCAGCAGTTTGTCGACAGCTCAGAGGAAGTGGTTAGTTAAGCTCATGAGGAAAACCAGCTCTGTCCCACCGCAGTTGTTGGGGGACAGAAGAACCCAGGCAGAAAATAACATCACTGTTATTTGTTAATCTGTCACTGAGCTCCTTCAGAGACAGACCGCTGCATCCCAGCTGCACAAAGTAGCTTTTTTGCAGATCTTTACTCTCAGCAGCTTTTAGATTATTTGCAGTTTTTTTCATTTGCGTATTTTTAATGCTCAAACACATATTTTGTTTTTTGTTTAAAAAAAAACTTAAACTGTTTTGCTTTTTTTATCTGAATGTTTAATAATTAAACAGTATTTTTTTTCTAACGCTTTACATTTTCTTACTGTATTTTTTTCCCCCATTCCTTTATGTTTTTACCTTTATGTGAATCTGCCTGCTTCCATTTTGCCTGTCACTTTGCTGCTGGTGTGCCAAAATTTTACAACAATATAGGATATTTCTAATCAATTCTTTTCTTTTCTGTTCAATGACATTACGTTCCTTTTGCCTTTGTCATTAAAAAAACGACCTGTTTTTCACAAAGAACACAATGAAAAAGTCAGAGTGAATTGCGCCTGCTGCATCTGTTAGCAAATTGCTTGCCACAAAGAAATAAAATGTCTACCAAAGCAGTGATGCTGGTCTGCTATCATTTTGAGCACTTTGGTGAAAATTAAAACATATCTACGTCCATTTGTGAGAAATTAGAGTATCAGGTTTTAAATTTTCATCAAAGGTGGGTTTTAAGCTGCCAGTGTTTTCATGTGTGACTGAGTCAGGGCCACTTCTTGTGTTGCCTAGCAACATTGACATTATAAGGTACTTTGTTTTCATCACTCCGGGCCACACATGCATGCTGCCCACACAAAACGCTAAGAGTTGAGTGTGTTCGGCCAAACTCCGCATAAGCTAAGAGCACCCGGAGGATTCACAGTGCTGAAGGGTCAGGCCGTCCCCAGTATGTTCTGGATGTTGGGGGTGGGAAGAGGGAAGGAGGGGGGTTTAAGACCTACTTCCTGGCTGACAGGAAGTCCAACTTCCTGTCTTGATTAATGGAGGGGACTGAGGGATCACACAGAGCTACAGAGAGAGGGGCCTCCCACACACAGAGCCGTGCACATTTCACCTTGAGTGTCAACCCCCTCTTTTTTTTTTAAATTCTCTCCGGCTCTCACGGTGCTTGAGAAAAGCAGGACTAAAATAGCCCAAGCTTGGATTCCAGCAGCTTATTGCACCATCTTGAAAGGCACTGTGATCTGTTTTCGTCAGGAACGAAAACAGATTTCCCAATCCGCCGACACTCCTGACAGCAAAAAAAAAAAAGAAAAAAAAAAGGAGTGGATCTCGTTTGCTCGAGGGTCACGGACGACTAAAACTGGTGCTTCTCGAACACGTCTTGTCGGTCAGGAGTCGAGTCCTGGCGAAGAATGTCAACAAGCGAACGGGCTCCTCTACAGCTGGAGGACTGTGGCAAGTGGAGTCGCTCACTGACTAACAGGATGATGGTGGACCTGCTAGAGATGCAGACTCCATGCCTTGCAATGCGTTAGACTGATAGGGAAGGCTTTCCATTGGAGGGGGTGAGGGAGAACAGGGAGAGGTGCTTTTTAAGATTTCATGTCGTCCTCAACCCCCCACCTCCTTGCAGATAAAGGTTGCCGTTGCCAAGGTGACTTGACAGAGAAAGGGAAAGTATTTGGCTGTTTTTTAACCCGTCCTTGTGCAGGGGAAGCTTAGAAGCCAGAGGCATAGATAAGAGTATTTCAATCCGTCCCTTTTCGGCGGAACAAAACCTGTACGCATGATATAGTACCCTAAATACCTCAGGACACTTCAGCTCATTTGAAAGCTGCCTAAATATGCGAGACATGCGGTAATGAGCGAGTTGGAAGCTGCTTTCGCCCGCTAAATCGGCGGGTTGACATTAACATGCGCAGACAGACAAATCGCCTCCGAAATGAAGAAACCGAGGCAGAATGTTACAGTCAAGAGGAAAAAACTCTTTATGTTTATTAGCCATGAATTTCACATTGTGAAAAAGAAAAGAAAAAAAAGAATCAAATGTAACAAAATAACCCCGTAAAAAATAATAACGAAACTTTTACTTGATCAAATAAGAGAAATCCGATGCACTCTGACAGAATCGTCCCGTCTCGTTTACGACTTTTTGTGAAAGCTCAAGACGACGAGAGGGAAAAAAAAAAATAAAAAATCGGTGGAAATGCCGCTCAGCAATTAGGTGCGAATTGAAGGGGCATTCATTGCTCCCTGTTGCCAGGGAGACTTGTGTGTGGTGGCGGGGGAGAAATGTCCTTATCTGATTGGTTGGGTTGGAGTCTCTTAATTCAGTGGCTGGATGTGGTGGACGTTACTGAGCCACAATGGTCCCCACACAAGTCTTCAAGTCTTTAAATTCACAATGGGAGGAATTTTGTGAATGGCCGAAGGAGGGCTGAGCGGCACTTTACAGGGGGCTGGTTTCCACTGGATGTGAATGAAAAGTGAGATGTGTGGGGGTCTTAAAGGAAGAAGATCTGAAACAAAATACACCAATTCCACCAAGACAGAACCTTTTACAATGTGAATGAATTTGACAATGCAACTGCAACATGTTCAGGTCACCTAGACAGACAGACAAAAACATTGAGAAGATGTTAGCGGATATGTTAAGACTTTTGTTGCTGCTGTTTTTATTTGTTTTTTTGTTGTTGTTTTTTTGGTTTGCAGAAACTTGCTTCACTGAATGTGTTTTTTTTTTTTCTTTAGTTTTTTTTTTAAATGGTGAAAAGCACTGTGGTGTCTGCCCTTAACGTTACACAGCATTCATAGCCAAATTCAAACAGCTAACGGGACCACAGGTTCACTCTCAGGGAGCCAAGTTGGCACGTGTCACACAGCCTCTGCTGTCCTTGGGACAGCTGCAAACACTGCCAAATTCTCAACTATGTCGAGGTCAATCTGCCATCGTGCCATCCTATCTTTTCTTTTGGGCTTTCATTATTAGCAAGATATGAAGGTTGGGTTTTTTTGTTTTTTTTCTTTCTTCAATTTAGCCCTGTATTGGTCTAGATTTGAGCTGGTGCAAGCTTCTACCCACAATTTCAGAAAAGGTGTCAGATTATCCAGTTGCTTTGATATTTAAAGGAATAGCAACGTTAGAAAGTGCTGCTAAACAATACGATTAAAGAATAAGAATGCTGTCTATAATTTTAATTTACTGATATGCAGATTCTTGCGTACTCGTTGAAAAATGTACGTTAAATACATAAAAGTCACTGTTTTCCCTGCGACTGAAGGGCAGGAGGCTACCCTGCAGCCCGCTGCTGAGCAGAGATGCCAATCGCAGCTTTCAAATGATAATTTTAACATTTCGACAGACGAGACAAAAAAATTCAAAACTGCCAAATTTGTCTTTGTGTTAGCAGGTAGGTGGAGGTGGGTATTAGCCTTTTCGAGCAAGCTGACCTTCAGCGTGCGCTGCAGCTGGTGCGATACGCTGGCATTTTATTATAGGGCCTTTAAAACAAAGAAAGGGAGAAAAAAAATGGGGATTTCTTTTTTTTTTGCGGTTTTCTAATCAAAACCTTCGTATGTTGGAAGTTGATCCCAGTTTCCAGCATATTCCCTAGTGAATGCTCCATCTTACGGTTAGCAACTCTTTCTATGATTTAAGTCTCTTTCTTTTTAAGCCACTTGAAAAGAAGTGAACAGCGAAGCTACGTCTTGGAAAAAAGCAAGTTTCTCCTGGCAAAGACTGAAATGTGCAAAAGGCAGCTCACTGAGACCAAATAAAACACAACACTTGGCCATGCACGACATAACCCAAACGTACATTCACATCTGAATGCAGGCAGAACAGAAATAAATAGGATTAAACATATTAACATGACACAGTATACCAGTACCATATAAATTAAGACTACACTGCAGCAAGTTCAAGAAGAAACTGATTTTTTTCAAAAAAGGATAATAAATTCAGCTTTTCGTGTTAAGGTGACAAGACTTTTTGAGGAGTACATGCCAGTTTTCACTGAACCACTGTGAGAGAACATGCTCGAAAAAAAGGGCTCCGGCGGTGAATCGGCAGGCGAGCTGGCAGGTCCGTCGGGAGAAAACGATGTTTTACAGCGTCGCTGCAGAATCCAAACACGGGCGTTAACGCGTCGGCGACAAACGCCGGACACGTAAGGCCGCGACCTCCAGGCACACGCAAATCCCATCGATCCGCCTCATGAGTGTCAGCGACAGGAAAGTTTTTGTAAGAGAAAAGCGCAAATGTTCTTTTTTTTTTTTCTGGGTCTAAAGCATACATTAGAAGCTGTTAACAGTTTGAAAACAAACAAAAAAAAAATCAAAAACGGGGAAGATTTGCTCCTTCATTTTTCCTTGTATGAGTCAGATATTCAGTCAAAATTGATTGATTTTGTTCTTTTTCAGTCAAACCAAAGCATTTGTCATGCTATTTATATATATATATATATATGTGTGTGTGTGCGTGCATGTGTGTGTGTGTGTGTATATATCTATAATTTTTTTGTCATAGAGAAAACTTCACAGATCGTCACAAGCCTGTTATGACTACATATGAAGAATGCAGCTTTTCATGATATGTTTGCAGCACTCCTATGGCAGCATGAAAGCACAATGTGCACACAGGTCAGAGTCTGTGCCTCGAAGAGCAAGCGTCGGTCAGTGCGGTGTCTCGGAGCAAGATGTCCGCCTTCCTCAACGAACCTTTGGGTTCTCTGCTCCTGCGTGTTTGTCTTTTTTGTTTAGCTTCTTTCTCTGTTTTTTTTGTTTGTTTTGTTTTTACATTTTTTGCAACACCAAGATGAATGCGGGGCATCTGTACATCGCTGCTTGGCGTCTCTTTTTTGGAGAAAGAGAATGTGTGCTTCTTCGTGGTTAGGAGACTGGCAGATGACGCGAAACCGGGGAGATCTGAGGAGAGAGAAGAAAGACTCATTAAAGAGGCCAATAAAACAAACAAGGAGGAGGAAAAGTATAGTAAAAGCAACAAAAAGTAAAAGGATCAGATTTACAGATAACCTGAAAATATGTCTTTTCAAAGAACTGCAGTGGGGCAAAGAGTATCTCTTTGACTTAATTTGTGCTGCGAGACACAGAAAGTGGCTTTTTATTCACATCCTCTGATCTACAGCGGTTGAAACAGCGGCCTTGAGGTGCACTGTGGTTTTACAGGAGATAAAACCCAAGGGAAGTGATTAATTTCACTGCATGTTACATTACAATACATTGTAGTGTGTCTAGCATTATTTTCTGCCAAACTTCCACCAACTCTGTTTCCTGTGAATCATCTGGCTGGCATCCAGCTCCTCATCTCCTTCTGAGCCAACATCACTTCACGCTAACCGTGTTTTACCGTTGGTTTCGTTTTGCTCTTTTCATTTTTAAAGAATTTATTTATTATGCACCTTATATTGACAGCTCATCTTGATGGCTATCGTGGCTAAAATGTATTTGTATAAATCTCTCTAATGCTGGCACTTAAAAAATATAAATTAAGATTGACCGAGTATGTTATATAGAACATTTCCTTAGTCTAAAACTTGAATAAACAATAGCTACGGAAGAAAGTAAAGAACTAATTTCACCTGCACGTCTCGGATAAACAGAAAGAAAATGTTGGGATGCAATTTCAACAAATGAAAGATGCAAATTGAACTAAAAACAATTTATAACAACAGTAGCCATGTTGGATTTATAGGTTGAGGTTAGGGAGAAACTTCTGACTTTTACAGCTTCAGAGTACTTTCTGTAGAAATCATAACCATAGATTGACATTGGCAGCCAGTTTATATCCTACCTTCACTTAACAACATGTCATAGTTTTTTGTTTTTTTTTTATAATGAGCATTCATTTTATTTATTTGCCCTGTCCTCAGTTATATAAGGTAGTAGAACACTATTATTTTCCTGGATTTCATGATTCCATCCGTCTCCACTACACGATTTCTAAGAGACAAATCTAGAAAGGAGAAACTCACAAAGTTTGTTATTGTTCTTCTGGGAAAAAACTCAGAGCATTTCTTACTTTTTTCTTTCTTTCTCTCTCCTAGCTACAATCTCCTTCTGTGAGGTCCAAACATACTTCCTTTTTCCTTTCATTCCTAAGCACTCGGCCTTTTTTTCCATTCCTCCTCACTTCTTCTATTCACCACGTTCAGTGAGCGGACTTTGTCAGTTGCCATGACAGGCAGGCTCACTGAGAAACAAGTTCTCAATGAAATTAGCAGCAGGATCTTTCACTTCGCTGGATTCTGTGTTGCTCTGGCTTACAGTTAGCTTGAACCTCCCATCTCATCTGTCCCTTTCGAAGATGAGTCGCTCGAAATAAGGGGGGGATAATGAGTTCTAGAAAATGTTTCATCCCAAGAAGGGAAGGAACATTACAACGCAGGAGCGGAGGAGCTGTTCTGAGCTGTCTCCTAACATTATCAGAGGGAAGGCGCGCAGGGTTACAAGAATGAGGAGTCTCTCCACTTTCTTCTTGTTTAACTCTCAGGAGCCGAGGCCTGTCAAGGCATTAGGAAAAATTAAAAAATATGAAGAAGAATTGCTTGCCCAGCTTCTTACTGTGTGGGGGCATTGGTCTGGGAATTGTGCAAACATAAAGATGAGGAATGTGAGCTCACTACCCATGCTCCACATACGTCTGGCCTGCTTATCGTCAGAGCCGGAGTGCTTGGGTTAGAATGAGGTCATCTAAAGAGCAGACAAAACGGTAAATCTTCAGAGTAAAATAACTACTATCAAGGATGATGTATGTGTGTGTGTGTGTGATTGAGTTGTGAAGGATGGGGTTTATGCCTGCAAGCTCTCCAGCTCCCCTTCCTCGCTTCCCCTGCTGTCGCTTCTCTCAGTCACCTATTCTTGTACCTGATGATAAACGGCTTCCGATGCGAGCTGCAAGCTACCTCCCTCTTTTGCAATGTAAAGACTACAGCTTCCCTCGCCGCCCCCATCAAACGTGCGGGGCCTGGAGGGGTGTGGGGGAACTGAGATTGGATTAGCGACAGCAGGGTTTTGAAGCTCGGTGATGTGTGGTACAGCTAATTTGCTGATCCTTTTTTCTTCTGAGAGTTTCTCCCCCACGGGAGCTATAAAGGTATCCAATTCTCTTTCAGTTACCCTTTCTGTCCTTCGGCCTTTCCAAACAGTCACATACCTCACTTAACTGAAGCACCGAAGCACTTAACAGGTCTACCAACTTTACTCTTGATCTTGTTTTACTAACACAACCCCAGCCTCTTGCACATTCTGAAACAGGCACAAGGAAAAGGGTCCGACCTAAAGCATTGGCATCAACTCAACATTTTGAAACATGAGGATTGAAAGGCCCTTTCTTATTGTAACTCTTGATAGTATTAATTAAACTTGCTGGTTGTCTAGGGATCCTAAATTAAATCTCAGGGGGTTAGAATGCTTAGTAGAGTCTAAGGCACGGCTCTTACCTAATGGAGAAGGTACAGGTCAACGGTTCAGGATTCAAGCTGGTAGATGTTTCCAGGTGCTGACAAAGGCAGTAGGGATGAGCGAGTATGGAACTGTTGTGATGCTGTTCCATGCATCGAGTGTGGGGTCGTAGCAGTCCAGAGTTTTACACCGCTGTGTACCAAAGTACCCGCCCACCACGTACAGTTTGTTTCCCGATGCCACAGCCTGGCAGCTCATCCGCTTGGCCGTCACGTCCCCCACTTTAGTCCACTGGTAGTTCTCGCTGCTGAACTTGTAAGCCGAGCAGGCTGAGAATTCGGTGTCCCCGCCCATGACAAATATTTGGTTCCCCAGCACGGCAGCGGCGGTGTAACGCCACGGCTGCGGGCAGGATGCCGGGACAGTCCATCGGTTTTCCTGCGGATCGTAGCACTGCACCTTGGGCAGTTTGTCGTGGGTGACGCTGGTTCCGCCGAAGGCAAACAACTTGAGTTTCACGCTGACCACTGCCGCGTTGCTCACACCCTCTCTGAGAGGTGCCACCATGGTCCACTTGTTTGCCACTGGGTCAAACTGTTCCACTTGTTTGAGCGACACGGACGGCGAGGCCGGGAGACAGCCCGTCGCCGCGGTGTGTCCTCCGACAACATATAGGCAGTGTTTCAGCTCCGCGGAGCCATGGCCAAACCTGGCAATGAGCATAGGTGCTGCTTTGGACCATTCCTCGTGCACAGTGTCGTAGACCCATACGTCTTTGGAAACGCCGTTCTCTGATCCTCTCCCGCCTGTGATGTACACCTTACAGCCAATGGCACAGGCGCTGAACTCCTTCCTGGGACTGGGGATGTCGGCCTTCGGGATTATCTCTTTGGCTTTCTGGTCTACCAGGTACAATTTGTCACACATGAATGTCTGTCCGCCAAGCAGGAAAAGGGCATGGCTGGTTTTTCTAGGTCGAGCACACGGGCTGTTGACCACGCCATCATTCTGGAGGATCTTCAGCTTGCAACGAATAGCTTCATCAACCAGTTCTTTGCTTTTGGCCTGATCATTAATCAGCTCTTCTGTTGAAACATTCTCCATTAGAAAGATGGCAGGCAGTAAGGCGAGACGAACCGTTCTCAGAAGTTCTGGGAGGTAGCAGTGCCTCTTTTCTAGGTCATAGTTAATCCAATTAAGGGCAGCTTCATAAACCAGTCTCTCATCTTCTGTCTCCAGCTCCTCGTGTGACAAAAGCTGCACTACCATATCTTTGGGCAATTGGAGAAAGTCCTCTGTCTTGCAAATGGCAGGGAAGTTGCTTAGACACATGCCCCAGGAGAGCTCTGACAGCTTCGTACACTGGTGGGCGTCAGACAGCAACAGCATGCCAAGACAGTTGGACGGATGAAGGTTTCTCTCCAGGAATTCGGCGCAGGCATCACGGATGTCCTGAAACTCCAACATGTCCCCAGCCTCCAGCAGCGACTCTGCATTCTCCTCGTTGATCACCACCCGTGATGAGTATGCGTAGTCGAGCAGCAGCTCTAAAACCTCCGGGTGGATCGAGTCTCGGAAGTCGACCTCACTGGCCTGGCTCTCCCTCAGACCGCCACTGAACATGGCCTCGAAGTAGCGGCTGCATGCGGCCAGCACAGCGCGGTGGCAGGGGAAGGAACGGCTGCCCGCGTGGAGGAGGACGTCTGTAAAGAGCCTCTGCTGCCGTAGAGAGTTGAGGTGCATGAGGACACTGTCGGCATAGGAGGATTTGTGGAAAAGGTAGATGTTCATGGAGCCGGTGCTGGCTCGGGATTTCCGGTTCTCATGGACACACACTGACATTTTCATTGAATCCTGAAAAAAAAGAAAATCTCCCATGAATGCAACATATTTAAAATCTATAAGAACAGATATAAAACACATTCTCTTTTACTATAATACATTTTAGGCAAGTCTTAATCTTTTAAATCATGTATTTATATTTCTTGTGGCTATAAACTTTGGAAAAATATTACTAGAGAAGATTCTCTTCAAAGTTAGTCATAAAAAAACAGATTAATCAGCTAGTAAAATAGGCCTAATTTGCCTCACAAATATAATTCTCAGCAGTGAATGCTGCACATGCAAACACTAGGAGGTTGATGTTTCAGTATTGAATCGTTCACTGCTAGTGTCGATAAAAGGATGAGAAAACATGCACATTCTGGAAAAGGGAAAACAAAACTCCATCAGGAATAGAGACAGCATCATGCACACAGTGTGTCCTTGGCCAAGGACATAGCAACTGTATTCTCTAGAAAATATTAGACCTTTATCTCTGAGCATTTCTTAAGAGAAAACTTCATAACATGCAAGTTTGTTTTTCAAAGAAAAATGTGAGCTTACATCTTCATCGTGATCACCCTCACTCACAGCATGCTTTCATTCCCTCCAATTATTTAGCAATGGCAACTGCCTCCTGCCTTGTGGTCTCTCTGCATGGCAACCAAGTCCCAGTGTGAGTTTGTAAATCCACATAAAAAAAAAAATCCACATTCCGTGTCTGCCCTAAAATCCACACTCCTCAATAAATTTCACACAATCTCACACTATTGCATGTAATACATAAGCTCTAAAGTCGTCCTTTCCGAGCTTCAAGTGGATCCAGCTTGCTTGTTGTTTCCTTATTGGCAGCAAGCAGCTGCAGTGTGCGGTCGGCTCCCAACCTTCCAGTTACCGGGAATTCCAAGGATTCCAAACATTGGAGGCAGAAGGCCCTCGCAAACATCCATAAAAACCTTTTCTAAACACCTGTGAGGCATGATGCATTTCTCCCTCTGCGCTCCAGTTTTCTGTTTACTTGACTGAAAATGTGAATGCCCTCTGAACCCTTTTTTAAAAATTCAGTTTTACTGTGAAAAATATGTGGTGTTATTTTTTTTAACGCATTAAGATGACATTACAATTTTTCACTTTGCATAAGTCATACAATAAGAATAAGGATGCTTTAAATTTAATACAAATATAGAGCCTTTATTTTTAACATGACAGTATTTACATATTAACCAGCGCTATGATGATTTTGATATGTTTCCTTGTTCAGTTACAGGTGTAGTCCATCATATGTAAATAAAGAGTTAAAGGAATGATTCAGGACTTTTGAAATGAGGCTTTGTTGAAGGTTCATAAGCAGTTACTATCTCTCCTGGCATCTTCATTTAGAATAAATCATATTTGTTGATCCTGCAAGCTAAAAAGCTAATGGATAGCCATGTGAAAGTCCTTCTACCATCTCAAAACATGCCAAATATTAATAAAGTTATGGAAGGTAATACATATCTATGAGCCTTTAAACCGTAGTGTTGCTTGCAATGACAGTTGTTTACACCAAAGAAAATGATTATTTACACAGGAAATGGATGTTGGAGGTAGTGTGCCACCAAAAATCTTCCAAAATGAAACGCTTACTGAGAATGAAACATCAAAGTAATGACACGGATGTCTGACTGAAGTTCTCCAGGTTCAACTTTTTGCCAACATGGAGGGTAAAAAAGTTATTTTTTACCCTCCATGTTAATTAAGAATTTTAATGAATTGTGACAAAAAGGTGACAAAATACTAAAAAATAACAGAAAATCTTTAATTAGAGGGGCACAGAATGTAATGCTGGTAGGTATGAATGGACATATATGCAACAGTTGGCTTTACTCTGACCAAAATACTTGCACGTTTCACCACAGAAGACTATTGGTGGTGAACCAAAACCTACCTTCATTTGTCTTGAAAATAATCATTCTATTTTATGAAAAATAGTGCAATCATGAAGATAAAACCATGCTTGTATAGCTTACTATGACTGTTTTGAGATTGGAGCTTAATAAATGTGGCAAATATTTGCTTTAATTTTGGCTCCTTTCCACCTTGCAGTTAGCTTTAGCCTCCAGGACCAGTTAAACTGGACTTACACTGAATGAAGATGCAAACAGGCAAACCATTACAGGCAAACCTTTGTAATGTCTAATATTTTACTGTCTATAGCATTTTTTAACACATCCTTGACTGGAAAAATCCTGAACTATCCCTTTAAGTTCTGTTAGAGGGCAGATGTTTTACCAACCTGTCGGTGGTGAGGGACTTTACATTCGAAAAAGATTTGAGTTCAAAAGACCTCGTTTGTCAAAAGAGATTCCTGCCGAACTGAAGTACAGAGAGGCGAGGGGACAGTTTCCAATTTCCATAAGTTGCATCATGCGCTTAAGAATCCTCAGAATGCAGTCTTGTGAGGAGGGAAATCAAGTGTGAAGCCTGTAGGTGCAAATGCAAGAGCAGCAAGGATTTGTGAAGAGCACTGTCACTTCTACCTTTGGCTTTAGGTCTCTGTGAATTCTGAAGGAATCGCTTTGAACTCCAGCTTTGATGTTCATGACGCACAAAGAAGTAATTCTTAGCGTTTGGCTGCAAGCGTTATTCCTTAGCCACAGCTCGTCAGTTTCTTTATATTCATCCTGTCGCTCTTTTCATTAACGCGTGAAGCACTTTCTGAACTTTTCAGATCACGGTCGTGTGCTGGCCTCACATGCTCGCTCCGTGATTTTCATCGGGTCGATTTACCTAACAAACCTTTGGTTTCATGCTGAACTCAAATGACTTGCGAAACCAAATTAGGGAGCCTTCCCAACGGCTTGGTAAACCGACTCGCTTTGGTGTGTGTTTGTGTGCGTTTCGCACAGGGAGCACCAGCATTATTTGTCAGCAGTTTATGAAACATAAAACCAACTGCTAACTTCGCTCAACAGGCTTTATTGCATTCCAGCAGAGACATGACCGGGGCACACGTCATCTCCTGGAATCAGCGATGATTGGAATATCCTCGCCTGGTCTCTCAAGTGCAGGTGCCACCTCCTACACACACGCACACACACGCACGCACACACACACACGCACGCACGCACGCACGCACGCACGCATGTGCACACTCCGTCTCTGCTTCTCTAATTGGAAGTTGTAAGTAGCTTGATTTGAGTAAGTGAACCTAATAAGTCCGAGACTTAATTAGAGAGGTTCTGCTTATGCTATTAATTAGCATTTTAATAAATGCAACCATCTATAGTTCCCGTCGGAAGCAGAGAAACGACTTCAGCAGGAACACAGCTGCAGCTCATATGATTAACTGAACAATGATGATTAATGACGATAAAGGTAAAAGATTCCAGTATGAACATCTTAAACTATACAAGAAATTCTGCAGTAGATTATAATTTTTCCCCCTATCTAGTCATAAAAGCTGTCACTTTGGTGTTCGGGCTTTTCTTATTATTTTGTTCATCTTTTCGGTCCCAGTGCAAACATTGATTTGTGTTTTAGGCCAGTGTTTTATGGTTTTCTGCCCTATTACGATCACTCTTCATGTAACTGTGATTGTGTTTTTATGATTTTTTTTTTTTTAAATTTGCTTTATATTGGTGCCGTAGTTATGAAAGCTAGGTTTGTCTCATTGTCATTTTGAATCTTTTTGATACGCTTTATGGCTATGTTTTCCATTTCTGATCATTTTCTGCTATATTTTATAATTTTCCTTATTCAGGCCACAAAGGGCTTCTATGGGATGATCTTGGGGTAATTTATTGTGATATGTTTTTATCATCTAAAGCACTCTGAATTGTCTTGTGGCTGAAATGTACTACGCAAATAAAAATGACTTGACATAAACTTTAATTTTGCATATATTTATGTCTATTTGAGCATATTTAAATTTTCTTTAATGTTATCCTTGATGTGTCTTTTTTCTAGTATAGCAGATATATTTAGCTTTATATGCCCCCAATATATCACATGTCAAATGAAAGTAGAGCTAGTGATCACACTGAAAGTGAGAAAAAAAACAACTGAGAATCTGCATCACTAATAAACCCAAACAGACGCAGTGGTAAAATCTAAATGTCAGCATCGTGGCATTTTGACTAAATAACCTTTAGCTTCAGTATCTCGCTTTTAATTTCCACTGCGCAGTAAATTTCTCTACGAGCTGACCTCGTCGCGGCTTAAAACTTTAGAACATCTTCACGACAAAATGCGACATGGCCTTTTTCTCAGAAATGCTAGCAATCTAATCTGCTGTCCAAATGTTTGTTTGTTTGAGTCAAAGAATTTCAAAATGTTCTTGTTTTAATATTCCTACTGTAATCTCTATGCATGATGTCCAGTTCTGTGTAATATCCAGAGGACATGTTTTGTATCAAACGATCTGCGGACCATGCGCTGACTTGAAAAGTGATTCGTAGGTGCAACAGTAGAAATTTAGCCCTACACAGACTGTCCGCACCGTAAAACATAGCAGTGGTGGCAGTGTCATGCTGTGGGGATGCTTTTCTTCAGTGGATACAGGGAAAACTCTGAATGTTGACAGTGGGTAGACACAAAGGGGGTGCGTACAAATAAAAGGCAAACTTTATGGACACTTTATGGACAATTGAAAAAAATATTGCAAAAACCACACTGTGCCACACTGTCCTGATGCATCACCATGATATCTTGCTGAAATACATTAAAATTTGAGGTCGTTCCCAGATGAAGATTTACAGGATTTGCTCTGCTTACGTGGCATGTTATTAGGATCCCGTCACCTTCACCGGCCAAAGCTCGCCTTGTTAGGAACATGCTGTACGCACTACGCAGAAGTTAGGCTCAGCCTGACAGACTTCTCTAACAAGAACTAACTACTGTAATCTGAGCAGCAGCATCTCCACTGACTTGTCTCTCTGTTGCTGTTTAGGGAGGTATAACGAGACCGCTCTGGAAGGAGGAAAATTCCTCTAAAACGTTAGGTGTGCATTTGCAAGTATGAGGAAGTGATGCTTTTCCATTGTTATTTCATTCTGCAATGTAATGAGTCCTTTCATTTTGACTGCATGACTGAGTTTGTGAATCATCTCTTGTGTGTGCCTCTACCTGGGAAAAAGCACCAACATTTCTTATTGTTCATGCTTTAAAATGTGAGAGTCCGCATCCGGAATGCAGTCTTTTCAATACTTGAGGAGTTTTGATGAGCATTTTTTACCCTGTTTTCTATTGTTTTGTTTTGTTTTCTCCCTTTTGAATGTAACATAACACACATTTCCAGGATTCGTACACAATGAAAGTAGCTCGCTGGGCTATGAGACGGATGAGAGGCAAAATGCTATCCTCATCCTTTTCAAAAGAAACCAGATCCAACAGACGCACAGCCAGACTATGTGCCACATGCAGAAAGAAATACAAGAATGGGAAGGGGGAGAGAAACTGAGAGAGAGGGAGGAAAAAAAAAGGTCTGGCTGCAGTCTGGTGGAAATCATTGCCAGGTGCTCACAGTCAACCATGGACACGGGAAGAGAGAGGGATGGAGAGGGAGACAACTTCAAAAGTAAACACCAGGCTTATGTGGACTTAGCTCCGAGCATCTGCCGAGCGAGACGCACAACAAAGACCGCAGACGTGCAGCGGCAGCAGGGAACGATCTAAAAACCCTCAAACAGACTCCGATTCATTGGCTGCATATACATACAGCCTCGTCCAAGCTGCTGCGATACATATAATAATAATTAAAGAAAAATGACAAAGGAGCGCAAAACAACTTACGCCACCAGCAAAGAGGAAGAAATCCAGAGGGGGGAAAAAAGGGGGAAACGCAAAATGCAAACAATAAAAGCAATATTGACATAATGAGAATATCAACAATTCGCTTCCATTAACCCTGATGCGCTCGACCCGGACCGCTCCCCTTTCACTGTGCAACTTTAAATTCGTAAGTCAGTGGGGGGAAATAAAGCGTATGTGGAGAAATTGTTTGTCGTTTTTACCTCTTTGGGTGAAAGAAGGACTTCAGTCGTGCCCGACGGGTCGCTCGAGCATGCCACTCGTGAGAGAGCCACGATGCAAAGCCGAATGCGCTCGCGCGGAGTGGATGGGGGACTCCTTTGGTTATCTCCGAGCAAATAGGTCGCAAGAAGAGCCGCTCTCTGGCTAATACGCGGACTGGTCCTTGGGTCTGGTTGTATGCGGTGGAGAAGAGGTGAATAATAAGAGGAGAAGCTGTTTGGAGGCGTTCCTCCAGCTCCAGCTCTGCTCCGCTCCTCTTCGTCGCTCCTCCGCCTGCGCTTCCACTGAAATCAATGGGTGTGTTTACAGCTAGAGGACCGGGGTGTCTATGGCAAGCCGTTTCCATATTTAATCGAAGAACCGCGACTGTTTCTTGCCAGGTTATACAGAGCAGTAATACAATTGCCATTTTTCAGAATAACACTCTTACTAAAGATGACACCTTGTTACGTTATAGCGTTACGCTACTGCAAGTTAAAAAATATGAAGTTTGAATGTAACCCCAGTCCTATTAGTGTGTTGCACTGCAACATATCAAATGTGACCTTTGACCTACAAGAACTGCTTTCAATTTATCCTTGTTGGGCCTTTAAATCGAGTCATAATATGTTGTTATCCTAGATGATGTTCACGAATCTCCCAAATATATAAACATATATGCTTTCAGGTCTCCGACAAGTATAATGTTAAAACAGAAATGTCTTTCAATTTGTTTCTTGTGTAAGTTGTCTCATATTACTAACTTATAAATTCAGAAAGCTTTTAATGTCTTCGAAAAATTAACTTAAACCTAGATCTTGTTTGGGATTTTTTGTAACTGTGTGTGAGAAAACAACCTGTTACATAATCATTAATATGATATTTTTACTGACTTTGTTGTCTGTTTGTCTAAAGAATGGAGTTTGGAAGTTAAAAAGCACTTTTAGAAATCAATAATTAAAATAATGGCTGTATTTATGGATATTAACAAAGTAATTAATTAATATCTTATTTAATACTTTTCTAATTTCAAGTAATTTCAACTTATTATACATTTTCATATTTGAGAGATCAATAAAAAAAATTCTCCTACTCAAAATTATAACTAGAATGGATCAAAGTTTTCCACAACGACAATGTTATCGTCATCTCATTTTGAAAATGACACAATGCAACAGAGATCTGTATTAAGCTGTAGATATTCAAGAAATAGTTTTTATTTAGTTATCAAAAATGTTAATTGTGAATACGTAGAGTGCTACGAATATCTGAAACATTCACTTTTACCGAAATAATTGGTTTGTTGATGACTGCTCCATTGCCAGCGCCACCTAGTAAATCTAAAACTGGCTTGCCATACACGAGAGACGGTGAGGGGAGGATCAGCTCGTCGGTCTCAGCGCACGAAACGGAGAGAAGAGAGAGACAAAGAGAGAGGAGCTCGCATGCATAGAGATGGGACGGAGAGGTTGTCTCACAAGGCGGCAGCAACAAGAAACAGAAAGTAATTAAATTAAATAGCTCACTTTTTAGATCCAATGCATCCAATGTTAGTGGAGAAAATGATTAGAGTTTCAAACTAAAAGCAGCTCACCATGGTAACCTAATATCGAGTAAAAAATACAGGTTTAAAACGATGTTTGCTCCAGAACATATATGAAAAATGTATAACATCATCCAATACCTTTCATTTAGAGAAGAAAGACAACAAATATACTCAAATATACCTGAATTTTGTTGCAGAGGTACGTGTAAACATTAGAAGAACATCAGGATCTTTCATATTTCTTCTTCTTCTTCTTCTTCTTCTTCTTCTTCTTCTTCTTCTTCTTTTAATTAGACTTAAATTTCAAATGTCCCACTTTACTTAACACATTCCTGACAGTTTGTCATGGCTTTTAAATTTGGAGCAACACCCCAAAATTATTCATGGCCCCCTTCTGGGCAGACCATTCAAGGCTCGCTGGTGGCACCCCTGGACTTTTGGGGGTGGAGTGACCCCCTGCCAGTGGGTCAACAGATTAACCCCGTTTTTTGTCAGGTTTACCCTCTTTAGGGCCTTTTTTTTTTTTCAATTTATAAGCACAGAGGAACTCTTGGGAAACAATCATTCATTGGTGAAGTTAGACCTGGGGGGACCAAAACTCATATGTATCAATAAGCTGCTCCTCACTGGTGACATAGGTGTTTCATTTTGAAACTACTTTGCAATTCAGGTATCTGTAACATTGGAATAGTTCCTCGTATGGTCCAGCACTCAGAATAGATCCCAGACATGAGAATCCAGTGTCGACGTTAACTACAGGGACATATTTTCAGAACTTATAATCTCTAGGTGACTCCGAGTGCAAAGTTCAATCCCAGAGGATTATAAAATCATTATGGTTTCTTCACTGGGGCTCCCGGAAACGCAGGGTCCAATTTTATCCCTTGCGTCGTCTTAACGTGAGTCATGTCTGTGGTCTTCGCTGGCTGTGACCAAACTCTTCGTTGGACCCTTAAGGCGGTGATGCCACTGTTTTGTTTGCTTTCATCTGCTCTGAGCTTGTGATGTGGTGATCGCAGGGCCTTCCCTTCCCATCAGCCGTGTGTGACGTCACCGGTGCACCATTACTGCAAACAACACGTTAAATGACAACTCGAGCTTCATTAGGAGCACCGTTGAAAGTGCTGTAAACAGGACCATAATGTGCCGTTAAACCCTAAGCATTTACATGTAGCAAGAGGGACACCTAGTGGACGAAATAGTAAAAAAAAAAAATAATAATAATAATAAAAATGTAGCAGGTAAATGAAAAACGTTTGGTTTTCCTACCAAATTGTCCTCTTTTACTTTGTCCAACCTGCTCACAGTGTTTTAGAAAACAACAACTAATGGTGTTTTATTTGTTTATCATCTTTAAACTGATGTGCTTTGTCAAAAAAAAAAAAAAGTCAATGATAAAGCGTAAATGTTACAAAATAAATGTGTAAAATTCAGCGGGTTATTACTGGTGATCCTAAAAGGGGCCTAATCACAGAAATAGCCCAAGTAGGGAGGGTGTATATGTTGGTCAAATCAATATATTAAATAAAAAAGTTTTCCAAGCAGAGGAGAAAGAAATTACCCTGAACGTGCCAGCCCTAAAATGATGCACTACGCTGCGGGGACACTTTTCTTCAAAAGGGTCAGGGGAAGCAGGGCAGAGATGATAGAAAGATGAATTAGAAGCTGTGTATTCATGTTTTGGAACGGCCTATTCAAAGTCCAGACTCAAATGTCAAAGGGCATTTTGTGCCAAAGTCTGAATTACTTGCCACGGAATCAGAATGGAGGTATCTTGCAGTCTTGTACCCTTAAAAGTTGTGACATGATGACAGTCAAAGGTAGAACATAGAACAACATGCAGAACAATCCATATTGCAACAGTTATGAAGAGATATTAGATGTTTAGAACTGCATAGAGTGGCAGAAAGTAGTGAAAAAAAGTAACCAAAACAGAAGAAAAATATGTTATGATGATACAAAATGACATTTTTAGAGTTTTTTTGAGGGGGGGGCGGGGACATGACAATAACTACACAATAAACACAGCCACCTTGTCAGGAAACCTGGGTCTTATACGCTTTACGCTATTGGATGTCAAACCGCAGCTTGTATCTGAATGAAGTAATAAAAAAACCCCGTCAATACTCTTATACATTAGCCCTCGTAACTGGACTAAGCTGATTTGACTAAGCTCTTTTGTGTGACCATGACAAACAAACACACTGTTACCTGTCTTACGAGAGATGCCAGAGATGAATAATGAGTGAAGAGTGGGTGGGTAAGCAGTCATGGCCGAGATGCTTGACTCAAAACAGAAGGGAGCTGGTGTTGCCTCACCTTGATGCTGAAAGATAAAAATGTAAAAACCAGTTGGACGTGTTGAAAGCGTTTGCAGTAAAGCGAGACTGGCTTCTTCCCTGATTAGGAGGTATGGGAACGCCGCAGTTCTTTAGTTGGCATCTTTCTTTCTCAGAATAGCTTTAATTTCTGCTGGTATAGACCGTGCACCACATCGGATCTGTTGGAGGGCAGTCGGTCTGAGCCCACCCGACAGCTGGTACCACTTATGCTGTCAGCATTGTTTCCACAGATCACTCAGGAGTAAGCGATTATTCCTCATCTGGCGTAGTCAGAGGTCGGCGGTAAGCGGGAGCCACGATGTCCCTTTGTCATTTCTGGAGGAAAGACCTGCCTGAAGGGCGTGCTGGCCTCCAGAACTTATATCTGACCTGCGGGAAAGGATTTCCAGCAGCTTCTTCACACACTGTGTCGAAGTGCAGTAAAGCAGTATAAACTCATCACGATATCCGAATGTATGTTTCAGCTGTTGCTTTTATTTTATTTCATTCTTTTTCAAAGATAAAATGTGGGAGAATCAATGTGGCAACTGCCTTTATAGACACAGCCATTAAAGACTGTGATGTAAACAGAAGAGGAGGAGTGCACTGCCTGGGCTTTGTTCTAAGAGGAAGTCAGGCGCCCTTTGTGTTATTATACGGAAAGCCGTATGTGTCCTGTTTTGAACTTTAGCTGAAAACCACACAGTGTTTTATTCTCAGAAAGACTGAACCAAAATGTTCTCAGTAAGAGCTGCATGTTTTAAGCTGCTGGTTTACAACATGCGGATTATTCTCAGCTGTAATGTTACCGTCAGCCACCTAGTGGCCATTGGTTGACTTCAGCCATCACTTCTCTTTGCTCCGTGTGCCAAAGAAGTAAACAGTATTGGATTTGTACACATTTGAACTCTTAAATAACCAAACATCAGAATTTATTTGTGATTATTCTTCTTATTACCCATCATATAATAATAAGAAAGTGGGCCTACAAAATAATAAGGTTACTGAACAAATTTGTCCACTACATTGTACAGAATTTTACAAAACAAAATATAATAATAATAATAATAATAATAATAATAATGATAGTAATGTTGGCCAAAAGTAATAAACAACTAAGAAATTGCTTAAAACACAGTGGTAATAAACAAATACCTCCGCAGTTTTTTAATCTAGCATAGCAGTTTTACAAATATTTTTTGTGAAGTCAGTGTTTTCCCTTTGGTTGCAAACTACAAGTTTCATTCCATTTTAAGGAAAACTGATTATCCCCCTCAAAAAAATATAAAAAATGTGAAAAAAAAAATAAAATCTTATAATAGATATTATAAAAGAGTCCTACAGCGTTTGTGGCTCGAAACAACTTTGCCAAGCTAGAGCGAAGGCAAAAATGATTCTTTGGGTTGTAAAAGTTGCTGACCTCTGGTTCATCCCATAAAATCCAACC